TAGAAATCCTTGTCCTGTTTAGTGGGCCTTAAAATTGATGGATCTAAGCTTAATTCAAGCTAGGCATTGCCAAAACTCAGACTGGATGCTGATGCACATAGATTATTAGTTCATAATTCAATGCTTATGGTCAAGTGCAAAGGGCAGTAAAACTACCTGTAGGTTAGTTGTCAATTTGTTTGTAGGACTTTTAGGACTTCTAAGTCCAATTTGACTGAGTGAAGCTTATCATAATATTTTTGGATCATGTGGTCGCAAGTACACAAACAAGGTAATGATGCATTTCTGGAATGCAACAATATTGTGAATTCTCCTTTGAAAACATCTCAAATTCAATGTTCTGTTTGCTCAACAAGAAACGGATTATTAAGCACGCTTCTAGAATTAAAGCTTTCTCAGCTGTAATTATGGCTTTTTGTTTTCCTCTTTTTGCTCAAATCAAGAAAGTAAAAACAATTTTTTCTTTCTTTTTGCTTGTTTTCCTAGGTTTTCCTCATGCTACAGTTTAGTTTCTTATTGGTGGTTCTATGTCATTGATAATTCTGAAAGGGCAGTGATTGGCACCTTTCTATTCTTAGCTAGTAACTTTTTCAAGTTATTTTAACAAACTGCCTCATTTTCTATGTTCAGTGTTGGTGCTGGATGTTCTCAGCTTCTCTCTGACATGCAGGCCTTTAAGGTGAGGTTTCATAAACCATTCCTATGTTCAACAGAGGCTTCTGGCTTTTATTGTTGCAAAAATGTTAAGATACTATTTGGCACACACATAATTAGTCTATGTTATAATGTGTTAGGCTGCAAATCCTGGTTGTGTATTAGAAGATTTTGTAAGATGGCACTCCCCCCCTGATTGGATGGAAGCTGAGGCAAGCAATGAAGCTAAAGAAACCATTGAAGGCGGGGATTTATCGTGTGCAAGAGGTCAACTAAGTAGGCGAATGCAGAAAGAAGGTTGAGTCTTCTATCACATGACATTCTAAAACAAAATTTTCTGCTCTCATTTTAAATAGGTTGTGTAACTCGTGTTCTGAAGTTTCTGTCAGGAGGGTAACGGTAATATGAAGTTGCATGTAGAAATGTTGACGTTTCATTAGAAAATGACTAGTTTAATCTCACATTCCTGTTTGATTCCCTATCGTTGCAAAAGTTGTGCACATTGTTTCTAACTTGGAAGCTTGTATATTTAATTAGGTATTGGAATTGTCTGACCTTTTGCTTTAGCTGAATTATTAAGTCTGGGTACCTGTGCGCTAAGGGCAGTAAGAGCCTGCCTGCTCTTATAGGGGTTATCTACATTTCCATATGATATTTGTACAGTGCAGTCAGCTCAGCTTTGGTGGATATGGATAATGATGAATAGCAAACTAAAAATACACAGTATGAAATTATTAAATAGTCATAATTGTAGAAGAGGGAAAATAAATAAAAGCTTTCCAATTATGGTTTTCCCAGGAAGTATGAAAAAGAGTTTTTTTCCTTTCTCTCTCTGTGATGACTGATAGTACTCCTGGTTTGTATAATAGATCATGGGCGTTTTGGGTACTTCCATGACAGTGACTCCCTCTGACATAAATTGATTGTGCTCACTACTCTGTGAGGGGTTCTAGAATAAATTCCTGACTGCTTTGGTTGTTTTGGCTAGACTCATTAGTCATTGGGTTAATGCTTTTCTTCTACTGATTGCAATTGTCAAGAGAAATACTTATATAGTAGTTTTCGTAAAATCCTTCTTCACTGCTTTCATTGTTGACATTCTTTATAAATGGGTACTTGGTTTTTGATTTAATATAGTATTATAAATGTGTACTTGGTTTCTGATTTAATATAGTACTGCTACATGTACTGTACATGGTCATTCCCTACACAACCCCAGGTTTCTAAAACTCTGGGTCAGGGATCGAAATTTTGTTTCATTTTTTGTGGAAATCGAAATGCACTAGTGGCTGAATTCCATCCTCTTGTTTCGGAATTGAAATTTTGGATGTTTTGGAATGTTTCTTCCGGAATGATGTCATTTCCTGCCTGTCTTATGGAAAGAGTTGGTGGTGGGAATATTGCTGGTTCGCCAGAAGAAGATGCACGTTATTTGCATTATAAGTCCTTTAAATCATGAAATTTAGTTTGTTTAATAAAATTTATTGTTTGGCATTATTTGAAATGACATCCTCTTCAAAGTAACTTTAACTTTTGTGCTCCAAGTTTGTGTCATCTAGTGTAGATGGATGTTTAGAAAATAAACATGCTCAATTAATCGATTGTTAAGCTTATCTGCATGAAAGAGATTTTAATTTATGTTTCCAACAGTTTCCTCACGTTTCCAAATTTTTCTGGGATTACATTTTGTTTCCAGATCGTTTCCATTTCTGAGCTGGCAAAAACTATGGAACACAACGAAATTGTGATCCTTGCTTTGGGTATTTGCTTCTTCACATGTGTCCCAATGCAGCAATGTTTTTGTTGTAGACTTTTAGTCATCATTCTTTCTATTTCTTTCATTTATAAACCACCATAGAATGTTATATTTGGTTGAGAAAGCTATTCTTTGAGAAATGCTATTAAACAAAGTTAAAAGTGAACCTTGTTTTTTGCAAATACTATTAATGTGCTTTGTTTTTTTAGAATGCTTGTTGATGGATGAATGCTATTAATCAAATTTTCTTTATTTCAAGAGAAACCTGGCTAGCAATATTTATTTCTGAGCATGGAAATGAAAAGGAGGGAAGAAGACATTCTACTAAAAAGATGTGAGGAAATTACACGTTTGTTATGACTTAAGAGTATCTGTGAGGATGTCTGATGTGGATGCTGTGGTTGGTGTTCTCACTGTTTGCCTTTTTGCAATGTGGTCATTTCGTAGTTCATCTAAATTTTTCAATGGCCAAGACCTTCCTAATCTGGCCGAGTTTGTTGCATTATAATAGGAGTGCTTGTTGCTATGGCATCCCCTCTTTGGTGGATAAAGAAGGACCGAGCCAAAAGAGAGCTCTGGAGAAGTTCATTGATTTTTGACTAAATTACCAGTGCAGTGGTCTCTAAGTCCTTTTAGCACTTCGAATAGATGTTTTGAAATAGTTTTTGGTCTTTCATTTCCTTCTCACTACTGGATCTAAAATTACCAGATATATTAGTACAATTGTCCTACACTGTTTTACTCATAGAGTTTTCTGCAAATACTTTTGCTTAATCATACTATGTATTTGCTCTGCTAAATGGTTGCTTATTGATTTATAGGTAATTTATGGCGTGAACTGTGGGAAACAGCAAAACCAGTTCCAGCTGTCAGACAAACTCCCCTCTTTGATGAGGATTTGGCTGTGTAAGACGAAAGATATTAATCAGTGCTTCATCTAAAATTTATTCTGTCTTCATTTAAATTTATTTCTGAATTGAATAACTTCCTGACAACAACTACATGGTGCTTTGATTCTCTAGGGATGGTATCCTGAATTTCTTAGAGGATGTCCCACCTTCTGAGCTTTTTGAACAGCTGTTTGTTTCTCTTGTAAGTCCTTCAGATATCTTGCGTGATTTATTTTTTCTGTATCTTTTCCATCAAATAGATTCAACTTGTTATGTATCACCCGAGGAATTTTTCCTTTATTTTCAATGGAAAACTGAGTAATCTGCATTCTCACATATGAGCTTTATCAAAATAAAATCTTTGATGGCGCTACTCGTTTGGAATATTTACTATTTTGCTCATGCTATATATGTGGCTTAATTTTAACGCTTGAACCATAGGGTTTAAAGCCCACCAAGTGGGTACTGTTGATATGCATATATGGCATTAAAAACTGTGGACATTGCTGGGCACAAATAGTAGTTTTACAGATGACCATTTGACCTTCTCTCCCACCTCAAGGTAGGGTGAAATCTCTTCTGCTTCTTGCACTGAGTGGTGACCAACATCCCCTTTCCATTGCATGTGGCATCAATGTGTTTCCAGTACTGAGAAGAATGAGGAATCATTTGAACAACCTTGGGCTGTGCTTCCAGCATCTATGGTGGTTTAGTGTTTGGGTGCTGCAGCCTCATTTCTAACATGTCCCAGAGAAGTAGTTTGCAATACTTTGGTCAATGGTTATCCACAAGGCTGGTAAAGAGCTGCCAACTTGCAGGTGGTGGTTGTTGTTGTCTAGTCCTCTCTCAGTTGTGGAAGCGAGCCATATGCGTCTAGTTTTTCATGATGTTGATGAGTGTCTGCTGGAAGTTTAAGTTTTCATCTGTGTGCAAGAATGGCTTATATTTGCACAACTATCTGTAGGACTAAAAATCACCTGAAACAGATCAATATTTTTTGCCATTGGTGATTCCTAGAGACACGTGCCTTCTATTTTTAGTTGATTAGGAATGCAGCCAATTGTTCTGTGCTTAATTATGATCCTGTTATTTGGCATCACTATTTGATTAGAGTTCAGACAATTGCTTCTCCTTCCTTTTTGTTGCTGGACTGAAAAATTTGTAGGTGGTGATGATGGTTGCATGCAATTCACAAATTCTGAACCACTATTGGTTGCTCTTTCGTTCTGCTAATGCGGTCTAATGTTCCAAAATTTCAGCTGGGTTCAGGATTCGTTATTGCAGAGGTCGCACTCTCCACAAACTCAAGTTTGTCAAAGTTGTTCTACGAGTGCAGAGACTACATTGTTGCCACTTGTCAAGGCAGCAATTGGGTTGAGAAAGTGGATGATATATGCCAGGTATGCCCTACACCTGACCGGAAAATTTTTTAAGTTGGTTTGTGGATTACTTGGATATGTGCCTCTAGATATAGCGATTTTGAAATCCATTGGTTCTCACCTTTCATGGCATACAATCTATTTGCACTTTGATTGGCACTGTTCACTTACTCTTGCTTCTTTGACATGCAATGAAGTAAAGCTCACCAATGGGATGATCTAATTCACAAATATATCCGAACTATCATGAGACACCTTGTATTGCTTTTAATTTGTCCAATGAAGGACCTGCACTTGGTGATCAAGGGATTGACAGGTTAGAATTAGATGGCCTCGTTCCCTGAGGTATTGGTGCCGAATGAGGCATGAATTGGTGTGCACCTTGCAGGGGCCCACTTGGAAAGTTCTTGAAACTGTCATCGAGGCACCTAAGTGGGCAACTACCCTTTCATTTCTTTTAGTTATCTTCTTTGGTTTGTTCTTTTGTTGCATATTCCTTTGTGCGTGGGCCTAGAAGTATATTATTTACGTGGGGCAAAAAAACCGAAGAATTAACCAAAGGGACTTTGTTATTCAATAATTAAATTCTGTTGTAGGTGTATGAAACAGTGGAGATGATGTTACTAAATCCAGATGAAGTTCTAAAGATCACAAATCAGCCAGAAGAAACCTCAATTGCTGGTGAACCGAAAAATAGGTTTAAGAGGCTTGGCTTCATTTTTGGTGGCAAAGATAGGCATGGAAAACCAGAGTCAAAAGACCAGAAGAACTCAGAGGAGAACCCGGCACGCCAACAATTTTCATCAATATTTTCGAAGAAGCCTCCTAAGGCCAGCAGTGCATCCCCAGCTGAAAAACCTGTTTGTTCGATTGAAAATGATTGGACAGTCATTTAAGCATACTTGATCTCACTTGTAACTGTATATAATTCTGAAAAAAAAAAATAAACGTCTGAAGAAATTTCCCAATTCTTTGAAAGGAAAGAAGAAATAAAAAGGCTTCTTATCTTCATTGGCTTTGAGTTTTGTTGTTGGTCAGTTTCTCTGGAAATTGCAATGGCACAAATGACCTCTAATAGCATGCTTCCCAAAACTCATTTCAATTAACAGGGCTGACATCCATATTAGGTTCTGCAACTTTAGTGTGTAATCATGAGGGGAATTTCCTTCGTTTGAAGAACAGATAAAAAGGCTGGGGAGCTGTGGCTATATGGTATTCTCACTCCCCTAGTTTGTTCCTGATCTTGGTGCATTGCTGATGGGTATTCTTCCTTGTTCATCTTCAGATATACTTTTATTGCTGGCCTCCTTGTCTTCACTTGTCTTATTTTGGAGGTCCTAGGAGATGATCTTGGCACAACGAAATTGGCCACCCAGCACATAAATAGAAGTACTGCACTGTCAGCCAGGTAAACCATTGGTTTTATTTATTGCTATTATTTATTTTATTTCAGAATGCTCTGCGTGCTGAACATGGTGACAGGTGTACCGCAAAATATTGTATTTGTTTAAAGAAATAAACAATGTCATTGTAAACCTACCCGTGGGAGGAGGGGTGGTGGTGGTTGTGCTGTTATGCAGCCAGTGACAATCGACACTAGGTCTGGCTTGGGAAAGATAGCAGCACTGACCATGAGGGCTACCTTTGTTCTTGTGGTGATGCGAATTTATTGGTGAAGAAAGTAGTGAGGTGAGATGTTATATAAAGATTTGGAGTTCAGGGTGAAAATGTTTTATGTTCTTCGAAGCAATACACCAATTCACCGGAGGTGGCCATGGAACTTGCTTCTGGAACTAAAGGGGAGGTCATACATAGCCTTGGTCCACATTTGAACTAGTGAAATAATGTTGTCTTTGTTGAAGGCTGTTAGTTTCAGTGGTGAAGAGCCAGCCAAAACAGTTTATTCATTTTCACTTGCTCTACTCAAGCACCTGAGTGATTGGAAAGAGAGTGAGGGTGAATGGATGCATCTCATTGTGAAACTCGTTTGCATTAAATTTTCTATTCCTTCAGTTTCTCGTACATTATGAGTGCACGTCTTTGATCTAGGCCAAATGGGTATGGCTAATATTTTAGGAACTACATCACGTTTTGCTATATTTGTCGTCTCACGTGTTGACATTATAAGTGAGTCTCTTGTTCATACTCGGTAGGTGATCTGTCATTGTGTTAAGAGCAATTTTGGATTCTTTATACTTGCCTAGTCTAGTCCCTAGCCACAGCAGCTATGGGTTCAAAGTACTTGGATGCTACTCTTTTTTGAGTACAATTTACAAGTATTTATGAAAAACGAAGGCTGGTTGCTTAACCAATACCCGAATACAGATTCACTTTGTAACAATTTTCTTCAATTCCTTTAATACTAAATCACTTAAAGTCGTGAGACTTGCTGTATTCAAGTGAATATTTTGCCAATAAAGAACATATGATGTCTCGTTGAGAAATTGAAGGGAAGTAATTTTAGAAGAGATTTCTATTCTCAGTTCACCTCTCCCCAATATCTCCCACTTAACAGGTTAACTGGATAATCATTCTCGTAGACTTTAAAAAAAAAAAAAGGAAAAATTTCAGTTACCCTATCCCTTAGGGCAAATTGCTCGAACCTAGATCCAGATTATATTACAAGGTCAAGCGCACAGCCTAAGCACTGTAATTATGGGTTCTTCTTGTGTAGATGTTGCACTTTTTTTTTTTTTTTGGGTCAGTCACTATTATAAAGAGAGTGATCAGGTATGAATTCGTAATTTTAAAGTCTATCAGTTGAGGCGATGACCATTAGGTCAACCTTTGGACTTGTGGATGATGCAGACCCAACGAACTTTTCATCCTCATAAATATAAAAAAACAATTCGTTCTCAGCACTTGTCGGCTCAGCAAAAGTATCAAGAGTTCAACAAATTAAACGAGTTCAATGGGGTTCCACTCATCTAGATGTTGCCCTTTAAAACGATTTGGTAATATATTATTAAACACACAAGAAGCAAATCATCCTCAATAGGTTGCCTCAGTAAAGAAGGGGAATAAAGATACCACCATATATGATCAATTGTATGTATACATATATACGCATATACAGACTTATTATACACACATCCACACCCACACCCACACCCACACATACAAAAATGTTAAAAAATGAATGTTTCACAAAGAAAATATTTATTTTTCAACCATAAAACAATTTTAATATGATGTTACTACAGCAGGAATATTGCCGAATAACTCCAGCTTCAGTATGTTTTTTTTTTCAGCGACCAATGAACTTCAGAACCCAGAAATCAAAAGCCAAGCTTCGTCTCTTTCTTCCTATTTGATACAGATTCATGAACTGCTCCACTTGCTGCTGACTTTTTCTTTAGTACGTAGTAATTGGGAATGTGTGTGTGTGTGTGAGAGAGACCCTAAAGGTGCAGTGCATGCAAACTCATGTGGAGATGAATCGAAAGTGTCCCCATAAGGCCCAAATGATCATCCACTTGGGGGAGGTCAAGTGGTGGTTGCTAGGTGGGGGGTTTGTTTTTCAAAAGAGACAGCTGGGTGCATTAACTTCCCAAGACACTGTGAATCTAAGCTAATTAAACTTTCTCAACCGTTCCTTTGAAAATTTTAGGCTTGGCGCCTCTATATATACTCCACTTCCAGTTCTAACTTCTCATCAAAAGTCATCTTAAACATTGCTTTTTGCAAAGATGGCTTCTCAGCTCTTCCTTCTTGTGCTTGTTGCTCTTGTTTGCACAACAAATGGTAGGAAGCTTGTGAGCTCAAAGGGTTCTTTCGAAGATGAGAAAACTCTCTTTCATCAACCAGGATTCGGTGGTGGAGGTGGTGGTGGTTTTGGGGGCGGTGGAGGTGGAGGGTTAGGAGGTGGTTCTGGTTTTGGTGGTGGGGCTGGTTATGGTGGGGGTACTGGTGGCGGTGGTGGACTTGGTGGAGGCGGGGGTGGAGGGTTTGGTGGTGGTGGTGGAGGAGGATTAGGTGGAGGGTCTGGTTTTGGAGCTGGTGGTGGATATGGAGGTGGGGCGGGAGCTGGTGGTGGACTTGGAGGAGGAGGTGGTGGAGGCTTTGGCGGTGGCGGTGGAGGTGGTCTTGGCGGTGGTGCCGGTGGTGGATATGGTGGAGGAGCGGGTGGTGGGATTGGAGGGGGTGGATTTCCTTGAGAACTAAAGCTCCAGTCCATTACATTATCACTGGTTTGCCAAATACTAATATTGTTTATGTATGCTCATGGAGGGTTTCTTTTCTTTGTATCTTTTTAGTGTCAAAGGGACAAATAAACTCTTTGAAATAAAATTAGTATTATGGTTTGCATTGTCTACTTGCTCTCTCTCTATTCAAATCTCAAGTCATCTTCTTATCAATGTGTGATATGATCTACTTCTAACTTTAGAAGCACATGCCAAGTTCAGAAAGAGAGACTCCAAAGTATGATCCTTTTGACATCTTATTAATTTCTAAAGAAATCTCATCAGATTGATCCTTTTGACATCAATGCACCAGCCCTACCAAAAGCTAATTCAGAACATGCACTTGTTGTTTAATGGACAAAGAATTAAAGAAGAACACGTGGCACATGCCATGTGGGAGCAATTTTAACCCGTCACGTGGTATACATCACTTCAAAAATATTGTACATTACAAGAAAATGATACAAACTTAAAATAATATAACCGAATATTACACGAATGTGACATGACATGGTTCAATTCATAAACCCCAAGCATTTTCATTTCCGTCAAGTGTGAAAGAGTTGAGGAGTTGTATGATAATAAATGTAGAATTAATATATAGGTCCCTTTCATTTGTGCTAAAAAAAAACTTAAGTTGACTTGGCTTCATGAGAAGGTTCTCAATCAAGAAGCTCAATATAATTAGGTCTGCAGGCTTCTCTGCTATGGCTAAGTCATGTAGATTCTCAAATGGTTCAGCGAAACATCAAAGCTTTCCACTTCACTGATTATGGGTCAGAACAAGTCTTAGTTCTATAATTTATATATTTCATGCTAATAAATGAAGAATTAGTTTCATTCCCATTGTCACCATCAACTTGTTGGCATTATAGTGGCGGAACCATTGAAGGATCAGGGTGAGCACATGTCGATCCTAATTTTTTTGTCTTACCATAATGTATTATATTTTTAAGTATATTTACTTATGTCCATCGTATTATTTTGTTATTATTAGAAAGTAAACTTGTTTTAGAGTTTATTATATTATTAAGGTGTGTTAATTTGGTGTGAGTGAGAAAGTGAGGAATATGCAAGTAGTGAATGACAATATTATTAGTGGGCGTTAATTTCCCAAGTTGGTAATAATGTGTGAATGTAATGTTAGGAGTTCTATACATGACCTATATAATAGGACATATAATCTACTATTAGAAGTAAGTACAATTGAGTAAAAGTTGAAGAATTCTAAGTTAAGTGTGTGCTTTGTAATCAACTTGAATGAAATTATTTTTTTATTGAGAATTCATGTTCTCCTCTACTTCCTTCTATTTTATTTCTAGTTTTCTTAACCCTCAAAAAGTGGTATCAGAGCGATTTTCTAATTGGAGTAATTTCAAAAAAATTAGTACCAGAGCCAATTTCACAATCCTGAAAGTCTATATAACTCTCAATTAGAGCTAACTTTTGATTTTGGAAGTCTAGATAGCTTATTTTAGAGTCAATATGATCCTTGAAGACTTGATTGTTACGATTATGACGATCATAGAAGATTGACTAAAATATATGTTTTTGGTGTAAAAAGATGATGTTCTCTATTTATAAGAGAATGAAGGTTACACTACCTTCTTATCTTAAAGAAAGTCATTTATGGGATGTGATTGAAGCAAGTTAAAGAGTGGCTTGCCTAAAAGAATCCGAGGAAAGAAAGAAAAAAGTATTTGGAATTCTTAAGAAGACGATTCATCTCTAGATTTGGAAGCTTGTACTTCAAATCATGTTTGGAAGTTGATTGAGAGTATTGTCTTCAAACATGAAGTTGAGTTTTTACCTATGGAGTATTGGGTTTAATGCTTTGAAGAGACGAGTATGTAAAAGAATAATGTGATTTTAAAGAAACAATCATAGAAGATGAAGAAAAGTATAAAGTCAAAAAAGTTGAAGAGACTAAAGTGAAAGTAGAGGTTCAAGAGACTTTGAGGATGAAGTTGAAGAAACAACTCAAGAAATAAAATATAAAAAAGTTTGTAAAGAAGTTGAAACAATACTACACGAAATTGAAGAAATTGCAAGGACCGAAGTTGAAATCAAAGATCTTGTCAAGATAAAGGATGGTGAGACAGAATCCAAAGATGCTTTTCCAACAAATAATGAAGTAAATATCATTTTGATGGCATATTTGAAATAAGAGTCAAAGTAATAAATTTCTTAAAAATTGTACTAATTGTTACTCATAACTTGGTATAGGGAATATTTTGAGTGATACAAATTGAGTGAATATTGAGAAATTTTTTGATCTTTGTATAAGACAAATTCAAAAAGTTTGAGAAAAAGAAGATTGTTGCACAAAGACCAAAAAATTTTTGACAAAACAAACATGATTTACAAGTGTAAGAAAATTCATCATAAACCCTACACGGCAATACTCCTTGGGTGTAGGGCTATAAACACGCATACAGTTTACTACAGCTGCAAAGGATAGTGCTTACTATAACTCATTTTATTTTATCTGGAGGTTTCAATATTTCTTCTCCTCCTCTGATTTCATTATTGCATGCAGGTCGCCCAATGAAGCCAAGCCAGAAGCTACTGATCAAGCTTTGCAGGTTAAGCCATAAGCCATTACTTGGAACATTTAAATTTAGGTTTAGCATGTTTTTTTTTTCAGCGAGCAATGAACTTCAGAACCCAGAAATCACAGGCCAAACTTCGGTTCTTTCTTCCTATTTGATACATTCACGAACGAACTGCTCCACTTGCTGCTGACTTTTTCATTATTGTGTTTGTTTGTGTGTGTGTGTGTGAGAGAGAGAGAGAGAGAGAGAGAGAGAGAGAGAGACCCTAAAGGAGCATGCAATTATGCAAACTCATGTGGAGCTGAATCGAAAGTGTCCCCATAAGACCCAAATGATCATCCACTTGGGGGAGGTCAAGTGGTGGTTGCTAGGTGGGGGGTTTGTTTTTCAAAAGAGACAGTTGGGTGCATTAAATTCCCAAGACGTGGTGAATCTAAGCTTATTAAACTTTCTCAATAGTTCCTTTGAAAATTTTAGGCTTCGTGCCTCTATATATACCAGTAATGCTACGCTTCGAGTTCTAATTTCTCATCAAAAGTCATCTTAAACATTGCTTTTTTGCAAAAATGGCTTCTAAGCTCTTCCTTCTTGTGCTTGTTGCTCTTGTTTGCACCACAAATGGTAGGAAGCTTGTGAGCTCAAAGGGTTCTTTCGATGATGACAAAACTCTCTTTCATCGACCAGGATTCGGTGGTGGGCTAGGCGGTGGAAGTGGAGGGTTAGGCGGCGGTTCTGGTTTTGGTGGTGGGGCTGGTTATGGTGGGGGTGCCGGTGCCGGTGGTGGACTTGGGGGAGGCGGGGGTGGAGGGTTTGGTGGTGGTGGTGGAGGAGGATTAGGTGGAGGGTCTGGTTTTGGAGCTGGTGGTGGATATGGAGGTGGAGCAGGGGCTGGTGGTGGGCTTGGAGGAGGAGGTGGTGGAGGCTTTGGTGGCGGCGGCGGAGGTGGTCTTGGTGGTGGAGCTGGCGGTGGTGCCGGTGGTGGATATGGTGGAGGAGCGGGTGGTGGGATTGGAGGAGGTGGATTTCCTTGAGAACTATAGCTCCAGTCCATTAATTATCACTGGTTTGCAAACATACTAGTATTGTTTATGGGAGCTCATGGAGACTTTCTTTCCTGCTTTTTTCGTTTCTTTGTATCTTTTGTTTTAGTGTCAAAGTGACAAATAAACTCTTTGAAATCATATTAGTATTATGGTTTTTATTGTCTACTTGCTCTCTCTCTCTCTCTCTCTCTCTCGCCATATCATAAGATTGATCATGTTAAACCTAATGAGATAAAAAAGATTGACAAACTTGAAGTTGCTCCAAATTCAAATCTCAAGCAGTGTTCTGAATGTAGAATGTGTGATATAATCTACTTTCTAACTTTAGAAGCAGATGTCAAGTTCAGAAAGAGCTCCAAAGTATGATCCTTTTCGCATAAAGAGATCTCATCTGATTAATTACATGAATCACACCAACCTACCAAAAGTTAATTTAGAGATTTGTCGTGCCTCGGAACACCACCAGAACATGCACTTTTTGTTTAATGGGCAATGAATTACAGAACACACTGCATCTTGGAGAAATTTTTGTGCGGGTTTAACACATCATATGGTAGTGTCACGTGGTGTACATCATCTATCTTTGTTAATTTTTTTTTCCGAAAATGCCAACTTGTGTATTTAGTTTTGTAATAATTTTTCATTGGGTTTGCATACCACATGATAGTATTGTATTAAACTCATTCTAACTTTTCTCCGCAATTAGCCATGCAAAAATATTATTGGTGATTAACATGGATCTGAGATTAGTGTAACAAATGCATCAATTAAAATTAATTACAATGTACTTCGAAGTTGCTTTCTCGGATTTTTTTAAATTTCCCGTGGATTATTTCTTCGATTTCCATCGTTTTCCATAAACTAATCCGATTGATTACCTTTTCAATTCGGTTTCCTGATGGAATGTTAATAAGGAATAATCCATTTACAAATCTCATTGAAGTTCTTAAGCAACATGGTGTTCCGAGATTAATTAAATTGCTAAAACGGGACTCATTTCGTTACCAAGGACTGTGCAGCGTTACTGAAAATGGGCCGATCCGTGGTAGACCTTGTTTTTTCTTGCATGATGTGATTCTATCTTGATTGTGATCACTTAACCATAGGTAAGTAATAGTACATTTATGGGTGTTAATTTTTTTTTTGTTCAATGGTCAAGATGTTTGGACCAACTTACGCGTACCTCGATTAATTTTTTTTTCAGTTCGATCAAAGATAGGTCATCCATGCCAAGACTAGGGTATTCATGAGAGAAAAATCTCTCATAACCTTGTCTCAAGGAGTTGTCAATATTCGAATTCAAACATTTAAGTTTATTGTTTGTCGTTATTGCCACTTGAACTACCTTAGAGTTTAGAATGTCAATTTTCCACGTCATAGGTTGACCGGGTTGGTCTAAGAGCTGTGTGATTGATATTGAATGGACCATATATATATATACATATTGACGGAACATAGTTTGTCAGGATCAATCAACATTAATCAGTCACAGAAATGGTACCTGTTGTCCCATTCCGTTAGGGGAACGATAGTTACACACATCACTACACTCGATTCTAAGAGGGGACTCCGGAAGCTTTTGACTACTCACAAGAATCTATTTGAACCAAGTAGAGAAAGGGACCAAGTTGGCATCCCTCGGCATATCAACGACGAGCATCCATGGGTGGGCTCTATGTTTCTACAACTCGATGTAACTTAGGCCCTGATTACAAGGACATCGGGGAACATCGACAACACAAGTCGAGGAGATACTCTTGGCTTATAACTATTTAGAGGCTCGACCATCAAAGTGACCTCAGTAAATGTGTCTACTTGAGAGTAATCAAAGAATGTCAACTGACAATTCGTACTTAACGACTAGTAGGCATGGTTCCATTCCCCCAAAGGTCAGAGTGCTAAAAAAATACAATGTGACCAATCATGAGGGGCATTATTGAATTCTCAATGAACTCCAATCTCGAGGTTTTACAAATCATTAAATGCTCCTCATAAGCATATGCTCGTATAAAAAAAATAGTTAATCCTCGGTGAGACAGAGGCTAAGAACATTAAATCCACAGTAAATGCTCCTCGAGAGTCAAGACGCCGAGCATTAAATGCCATTAATACATCCTCATAAGGTCATGCATGCGGGATATCAAGGATCGAGGCAAAGCAAATGTTCTGTTCGAGGCCTGTCCACCTGAACAAGTCAAAGGGATATATATTTCAATTGTTTGATGTACGGACCTAACGGAAGCTTTCCTACCAATATAAAGAATTGAATGACCTGGCCTAACTTAGTGGTCACCCCTTGAAGGTATAAATAAAAGGCAAAGGTACGCAATTTGAACCCAGCAATAGCCTTGTATTTCACTTCTCTCCTCAAAAATTGACTTCAACATCAGAGGAAATTGTCGGAGACACTCCACCATCCCTTCTAACCTTTCTTTATAACTGACGGATCATTGAACCCAAGAATCCAGAGCCTTCTTCTGAGTGCAAGCCAGACTTCTGCTATCTCAAATATTTTACCAGAATTCTCCTGTATACACACATATATCTATATAATAAAGTAGAACGAATTTGAATTTTAGAGAGACAAATAGTGGTCTAGATCTTTTCGTGACCAAAAAAAGTATTATCTAATGGAGGACGTTATCCCAAACTGTTTCGAGCAATTGACGTCTCAGATCGTTTTGATCCGACGTTCCACATTAACTTTTTTAAATATTTTTGATGCTCAAAATTTATAGTTTCTAAAATTGATATTCAAAATTTAATTCTCCAAATATTTTTCTTAAATCAAACAAATCTCTCTCTCTCTCTCTCTCTCTCATTCCTCTGTATATCTCTCTCACGATTAATTCACGCAAAAAGTATCAATTTTTCACAATATTTTCCTCTGTATCTCACGAAAATATCATAAAATATTAAATAGTGTTTGATTCAAGCAAATACTACATTTCTCTGTAGATAAATAATATATATCACAGAGAAATAGTATATTACGAAAATATTCATCTGTATCTCTCTATGTAGAAATATTATGTAATAAAAATTAAATAGATAGTATATATCACAAAAATATTCCTCTGTATCTCTCTCTTTCATTCAAGCAATACTACAAAAACGAATCAAACAAATTCAATAATCAATTTTATTTTTTCCATAATCAATATAAAAAAAACATAACTTACAAAAAATCTAATTTAACAAATAAAATATGCTTAACATGTAAAATATATAAGATTAGATTCAAGTTATTAAGCAATTCAGATATCAAGAGATATATTAAAGAAAATATGCTTAACATTTAAAATATACAAGATTAAATTCATATACAAACATGAATCATACAAATTCAATATTTAGTGAATAACATAAAAACAACAATATTTACTAAATAATAATCCAAATTTAAATACCCAAGAAAAATGATACAAAATTACAAGCGAGAAAAACGATACAAAATTATAAGCAATACTATGAACACAAATCATACAAATTTAATATTTAATGAACAATATGAAGTAACAATCTTTACTAAATAATCCAATACTAAATAACTTTTAGTTTAAGAAAATATACTAAGAATATAAATAACTAAGAAGAATGATATAAAATTAAAAACATTATTATAAACTCGAATCATACAAATTCAATAGTCAATTTTTTTTTCATAATCAATAAAAAAAGAAGCATAACTTGCAAAAAATCTAATTTAACAAAGAAAATATGCTTAACATATAAAATATACAAAATTAAATTCAAGTTATAGGACAACTCATATATCAAGAGATATAATAAAAAAAATATGTTTAACATTTAAAATATACAAGATTAAATTCATATACAAACACGAATCATACAAATTCAATATTTAGTAAACAACATAAAACAACAATATTTACTAAATAATTCAAATCTAAATTCCCAAGAAAAATGATACGAAATTACAAACAAGAGAAACGATACAGAATTATAAGTAATACTATGAATACGAATCATACAAATTCAATATTTAGTGAACAACACGAAACAATAATCTTTCCTAAATAATCTAATACTAAATATCGTTTAGTTTAAGAAAATATATTAAGAATATAAATAACTGAAAAAATGATATAAAATTAAAAGTATTACTATAAACTCAAATCATACAAATTTAATAATTAGGTCGTATCTTTTGAAATTCGGTTGAATTTTTGATAGTTATATTTGGTCATTTGACAATATCTGCAGATTTAGTTTATTTGTGGGAGTATTGTTTTAATTTTTATTTTATTAGTTATGAATTTTGTTATTATTTAGATAAAGTTGATTATGAATGTTAAAATCGTGGATTTTGAATCAAAAACAGAACATTGAATATTGTCAGCTGATATATTTTTTCAGATGTTTGAATTATTATGTTTCAGTAGTTATAACATAATTTTCGTTGTGTAACAATTTAATGTGGAAATATATACTATGCATGTAGGTTGATGTTATAAAAAATATTAGCGGACTCATCTTGTTCATCATTTACTATAATGTTGTATTTTACTTTACATTTATGTATGAACAAATATTTGTAACTAGTGTACGAGTACCATCGCGTCTTCAGGCACGGACAATTACTAGTATATATATATATTGATGCTATTTTCATTTCTTGATCTATTACAGTCTGAAATGTTGCAGGACTAAATGTGATTTTGTTTGACATCGTTAAGATGTGTATCAACTTTTTTTTTGGAAAGTAATCGAGTAGATTTTTAATTTATGGATACTTACCGGTAGTAAACATGGTTTGAGAGGGAAAAGATTTTAGTGCACACAACCGTTTTTAATTTCTTTGTTACACAAAAAATTACACGAAAACCATACAAAATTAAAATAATAAAATTGAATATCACATGATATGATTCAATTCACGATCCTCGAGGCTTTCATTTCCGTCATGTATGCAAGGTTAGATAAGGATTTTTAGTTGAGCAGTTGTATGATAATAAATGTAGAATTAATATACAGGCCCTTCATTTGTGCCAAAGAAGCTTAAGTTGACTTTGCTTCTCAATGAAGAAGCTCAATATAATTAAGTCTGCTGCAGCTGACTTCCTTGCTAGAATCTCAAATGGTTCAGTTGACATCGAAGCTTTCCACTTCACTGATTATGGGTCAGAACAAGTCTTAGTTCTATCATTTATATATTTCATGCTAATAAATGAAGAATTAGTTTCATTCTCAATGTCACCGTCAACTTATGATCAATTCATAGTTCTGATAAATACAAACATCCTGAAACGAATATTGACAATTTTTGAGAATTAAGTCACGAGCGATTTATTTTTCGTAAATATTCTACATAGTCTCAATGTGGATGATCAATCTTTGATTGAACCTGAAAGAGTTTTAGTTAAGATCCATGTAAAATGACCTAGACACCCACTAGCTGTTGAAATTAAAAAAAAAAAATCATAGCTGTGAGACAATTTGATGTAATCTGGTAGTTTCAAAAATTATTGAATTTTTGGAAGGGAGTCAATTAAGCAGATAAGATTTTGCGTGTGTTTATGTGAAACGTGTATATAGCCAATGAGAAATGCTACTTGAAAAAAAAAATATTGACAATATTTTCTGACTTCACCCTTCATCACAATCATTGAATAGGTAATAAATTTCAATAAATATTGAGACCAACAGTTAAATCAATGACAGTAATATTGAGAGTCAACAAATTTTGTAAATATTTTTTTGTCTAATTAGCATTGCCCATAGCCAATGGAAGTTATTAGGATCGTGTTAGGAGTTTAACCAAATCAGTTTCCATCAGTATGTGAGAACAACGATTTAGTTTTTAATAATTGGTTTAGAGCAATCACTATGTCACGGGTATGAGTGCAAAACCTCTATCAAGCTTTGCAGGTTAAGCCCTAAGCCATTACTTTGAGTATTTTAATTTTAGTATGTTTTTTTTTCAGCGAGCAATGAACTTGAGAACCCATAAATTACAAGCCCCCCACCAAGCCAAACTTCGGTTCTTTCTTCCTATTTGATACAGATTTATTAACAGTGAACTGATCCACTTGCTGCTGACTTTTTCTTTATTGGTGATAATTGTGTGTGTGTGTGTGACACACAGAGAGAGAGAGAGAGAGAGAGAGCCTAAAGGTGCAAAAAGAGAGAAAGAAACCCTAAAGGTGCATGCAAATTGCAAACTCATGTGGAGTTGAATCGAAAGTTTCCCCGGGCCATAAGACCCAAATGATAATCCACTTGGGGAGGTCAAGATCGAGGTGGTTGCTAGGTGTGCGGGTTTGTTTTTCAAAAGAGACAGTTGGGTGCATTAAATTCCCAAGACGCGGTGAATCTAAGCTTTTATAAATTTTCTCAACCGTTCCTTTGAAAATTTTAGGCTTCGCGCCTCTATATATACTCCACTTCGAGTTCTAACTTCTCATCAAAAAGTCATCTAAAACATTGTTTTTTGCAAAAATGGCTTCTAAGCTTTTCCTTCTTGTGCTTGTTGCTCTTGTTTGCACCACAAATGGTAGGAAGCTTGTGAGCTCAAAGGGTTCTTCCGAAGATAGAGAGAAAACTCTTTCATCGACCACAGGATCCGGTGGTGGGCTAGGTGGTGGAGGTGGTGGTGGTTTTGGAGGCGGTGGAGGTGGAGGGTTAGGCGGTGGTTCCGGTTTTGGTGGTGGGGCTGGTTCTGGTGGGGGTGCTGGTGGCGGTGGTGGACTTGGTGGAGGCGGGGTGGAGGGGGGTGGAGGGTTTGTGGTGGTGGGTGGAGGAGGATTAGGTGGAGGGTCAGGTTTTGGAGCTGGTGGTGGATATGGGGGTGGAGCAGGGGCTGGTGGTGGGCTAGGAGGAGGAGGTGGTGGAGGCTTAGGTGGCGGCGGTGGAGGTGGTCTTGGGGGTGGTGCCGGTGGTGGATATGGTGGAGGAGCGGGTGGTGGGATTGGAGGAGGTGGATTTCCTTGAGAACTAAATTAGCTCCAGTCCATTACATTATCACTGGTTTGCCACATGCTAGTATTGTTTATGAGTGTTCATGGAGTGTTTTCTTTCCTGCATTTTTCTTTTTTTTTGTATCTTTTGTTTAAGTATGAAAGGGACAAATAAACTCTTTGAAATAAAATTAGTATTATGGTTTGTATTGTCTACTCTCTCGCTCTCGCTCTCTCTCTCTCATATCATCATTGATCAAAAGATTGACAAAACTTGTGAAGTTGCTCCAAATTCAAATCTCAAGTGATCTTCTTATCAATGTATGATATGATCTACTTTCTAAGTTTAGAAGCAGATGTCAAGTTCAGAAAGAGCTCCAAAGTATGATCCTTTTGGCATCTTATTAATTTCTAAAGAAATCTCATCAGATTACATGAATAGCACCAATCCTACCAAAAGCTAATTCAGAACATGCAGTTTTTGTTTAATGGGCAATGAATTATAGAACATACACAACATCCGCTATAAAATATGAATAATACTATTTGGACTTAAAAATTTGATTTCATTCGTTAACCTAATGATATAGTTTTATTAGAATCAAGACAAGTTCTAATGTTTGATGGAATTCACAGTCAATTCAAATGTTATAGTGACTAGGTCAATCAATGAGGTCAAATGTTTATGTCCAAATAACATTACTTATAAAGTATTGTACATTTCTAATGAATGACAGTCACTCGTCACTTTGAGAGAGTTCTTTTTTAAAAAGGTCATCACTTTGTGTAATTAGTTTTATATGACAATTTTTCATTGGATGTACAAACTGCATGGTAGTGCAACCTGATGTATTTTTCTCTCCCAGGTAGACATGCAGAAATATTATTGCAAACAAAAAAAAAAAAAAAAGATCTCCATCAAAGGAGTTTATAATTAGTGGGATGCTAATGAATATAAATTTTGGGGCAGTAGTTCTGAAAAAAGTACTGAAAAATATACAACACATGAAGAGGAGCTTGAAGACTTGGAACGAGAAGTATTAGGAGGCTTTGATCATTCATGATAAAAAAATATACAGAATTTATTTTTCGTTTAATTGCAAGGAAATGATTTGAGGAGGTTAGCGTGGATCTAATATTGGTGTAACCAATGCATCAACTAAAACTAATTACGATATATAACGGATTTTGTTTTCTCTGATTTTTTTTTTTAAAATTTCCCATGGATTATTTTCTCGATTTCCATCATTTTCCATAAACTAATCCGATATGATATACCTTTTCAATTCGGTTTTCCTGATGGAATGGTAATAAGGAATAA